GCCGTCAAAGGGCCCTGTGCCGCCACACTGGGCCGCGCCGCCAGAGCGCCATTTGGCGCAATTCGGGGCCGTTCGCGCAGCTGGCCTCGACGGCCTCGACGGCGACGTGCCGCCGGATGCGGCGGTACACTGTGAGCTGGCCCTCGGCAAGCGAAGCAGGGCAGCACCGAGTCCGCACCGGGACAATGCCGCGCCCGGTCTGCGTGGCGCTGGCAGCACACTGGCAGCGCTCTCCTTTCACTCTCGATACGTACATCATCGGCGGGCGTAAATCTGCCAATCACAGCCGCGGGCCGCGCGAGCCGCGCAAGGCGTCGCCGTGGCGTCGCCGCCGGACGAGGCGAGGACAGAGAGGGAGAAAGCACACTGCTGGACCAGAGGATGAATAATGAGCCGCGCTCCGACACGTCCATCTCGCGGCATACAGGACATGAGCCCCGTCCCGTTTGAGCCCCGATGGTCTGAGCCCCGACCTGAGCCCCAACCTGAGCCCGGGTTGAGCCCCGACTTGAGCCCCGACCCAAGCCCCAATTTCCAGAGCCCGGATTGAGCCCCGACCTGAGCCCCGTTTGAGCCCCATTTGAGCCCCATTTGAGCCCCACTTGAGCCCCATAGCAATAAATTATGCAAAAATGCGTGATTTCAGGTCGCGGGGCTCAAATGGGGCTCAAGTGGGGCTCAAATGGGGCTCAAACGGGGCTCAGGTCGGGGCTCAATCCGGGCTCTGGAAATTGGGGCTTGGGTCGGGGCTCAAGTCGGGGCTCAACCCGGGCTCAGGTTGGGGCTCAGGTCGGGGCTCAGACCATCGGGGCTCAAACGGGACGGGGCTCATGTCCTGTATGCCCATCTCGCACCGGGCGTGTGTGTGTGTGTGTGTGTGTGTGTGTCAGCGCGGTAAATCAGCGTTCGCTGCTTGGCGATTTGTGAGCTGCCGTGAGTGTGGTTTCGACATGGGTGCCACTGCGGTGGCTCGTGCTGGCCGTGCTGCTGGCCGTCGCTGGCATGGCGTGGGTGGTGGGACCTGCTGCGCGGCGCTGCGCGCTTCGCGGTTCGACTGCTCTGCTCGCGCGCGCCGCGCTGGCTGGGCGGCCTGGCCCCGCATGTCCCGCATGTCCCGCACTGCCGCTGCTGGTGCCACTGGTGCGCTGATTTGTTATGTCTATATTTGCCGAGCCGCGCCGTGTGGCCGCCACCGCACTGCCTGCTGCCGACCGCGCGGGTGCTGGACCGTGTGCGTGCGTGTGTGTGCGTGTGTGTGTGTGTGTGTGTGTGTGTGTGTGTGTGTGTGTGTGTGTGTGTGTGTGTGTGTGTGTGTGTGTGTGTGTGTGTGTGTGTGTGTGTGTGTGTGTGTGAGCCGCGAGAACCCATTTCGCGCTGATTCCCCGTCATTTGTTTCGGCCGCGTCTGGTTTCGAGTGCAGCCGCGTGGCGCCTTGTGTGTGTGTGTGAGTGTGCGTCGGTGTGCGTGCGTCTCGAAAGCAGGGCGTTACGGATATTGGTGCCTCTCGAGTAAAAATAGGTGGCGGTTGCGGAGCGCGCCGCAGGCTGCCGCGTCGTTTTGCGTGCGTCGGTGGAGTACAACGCGCACACTGTAAGCTGTACACGCCGTACACGCCGCAATAATTATTCGCGGTCGGTGCGTGCGTGTCGTCGGGCACGGCACGGCACGGCGCGCGCTGCCCGAGGCGTGCTCCAGCCAGCCCAGCCACCCCCTGGCGCCGCGGTGGCGGCGTGCGGCGTGCTCGCGGGGTGCTGCCTGCCTGCCGGGCTGGCGGTGGTGCAGGATAATGATTGCCGCCCCGCTCGTTTGACTCCGCGCCGTCAGTCGGCGCGTGCCGCCCTGGAGGACGTGTCCGGGACGTCGGCGTCCAGGGGCGTGTCCGCGCCATTGGGCTCGATCGACGCGCCACGCGGCCGTCATGTCCGCGAGGCGCGGCGGGGCGGGGCGGGGTGCCGGGGGAGTGGGAGGTGACAAGCACGTACCGAGAGGTCTGCAGCGGCAGGAGCAGGACGCCAGGACTATCCGCGGCGAGGCGATGGCCGTTGTGATTGTGGTGGTGGACGACGTTCGCGGTTCACTCCGCGGTCCGCGGCCCTGCCTGCCTCGGCCTGCCTCCTCCCGGTGGACGGCACGGTGCTCCATATTCCGCCCGCTTTAGCCTCGCCAAACGGCCACTCATTGTGTGCTGTACTACCCGCCGCGGTTTATGGCATCTCTCTCTCTCTCTCTCTCTCTCTCTCTCTCTCTCTCTCTCTCTCTCTCTCTCTCTCTCTCTCTCTCTCTCTCTCTCTCTCTCTCTCTCTCTCGCTCTCTCTCGCTCTCTCTCGCTCTCTCGCTTTCGTCGCCGTCCGTCCGCACCACCAGCAGCAGCGCGGGGTTGGCGGGGACACCGCTCGGCCCACGCGGCCCCCGTGTGTGCCTCTGTGTGCGTGCGAGCGAGTGTTGTTATAATGCAGGTGCAGCGCGGCACTGCGCGTGGGTCGCCTCGCGGAGGGGGGCGTAACGGCGAATATAAAGGGCGGAGCGTCGCTCTCGTTCGCTAAATACACTGTTACCCAGAGACAGCGCGGCGGCGCGGCGGGTCAGGAGGATGTATAAATTGGCGCCGCGCCTCGGCCGCGTCGGCCGCCCTGTCGCGAATTACCCGCCAGTGTGTCCGACCGAATCGCAACGGAGACTCGGCCTGCTCATCGCGCGCTGCGGTGCGCGGTCGTCGTTTTGGCCGCCCCGCTGGACACGCCGACACGCCGCCCGCTAATGGCCCGGTAATGAGGCGGTAATTGGTCTCCGCAAATCGCAATTGGGAGCAGCGGCGTGTGCATGTGTGTGTGTGTGTGTGTGTGTGTGTCGCGCTCACCTTGCTGCTTATTGATATCCCACACGCGTGCCGGGCTGGGCGGCGGCGGTGCCCCGTGCCCCTGGTGGCGTGGGGCGGCGGGGGGGTCTTTGAGGCGGCGCGGCGCGGCACGGCGCGCACTCGCTCGCGCGCACATCGCGGTGCTGCGACAATTAATTAGCCACTTGAAGTTGTCAGGCGACATCAGTGTAGTGGGGAGTGTACGGAGCCTTACAGTGTAGCGCGCGCGGAGGGCGCGCGGCTGATTGGCTCCGCTGTTTGACGTCTTACTGGGCGCGTCGTGCAAGTAGTGCACACACACACACGCACACAGTGCACTGGGATGCGGGCGCCGCTCACATTATTTTTACCCCCTCGGCCGAAAGGGCTGGCTGGCTGGCGTGGTGGATCACTTACTCTGCTGGTATTGGCCTGGGCGGGGCGCAGGCTGGCTGGCTGGCTGGCCCCTGGGTAGCTCCACGGAAATTGGGAGTAACGCAACACGGTTGTGTCGTCCCTGTGTGTGTGAGAGAGAGAGTGAGGAAGGACAGGGGACACGGCGGCCTGGGGTAAAGCAAGAGGGATGCCGGGTTGGTCGGACAGCGAGTCCCGGACACCGCGTGGCCCTCGGGGACGCCTGGCCGCCGCTGGCCGGCTTGGTGGCGAAATACTGCCCCGCGCTGCACTGCAATGGACGGCCCCGCCGGCTCTCGGGGTGGCCGTCGACGCGGCGCCGTCGCGGCCGCCGACGTCTGGCGCTAACCGGAGTTGATATCTCGGCGTGCAGGCCCTGCAGGCCCTGCAGGCGTTGTGCGTTGTAGTGTAGACCGGCCCGGCCGGCGTGTTACGACGTCCCCGATCAGATCGGATGACTCGGGGAGGAAGCGGCAAGGGCCAGGCGTGGCCAGGCAGGGCGCGCCCTCCGCCCTCTAGCCCTCCACGACGTCCTACTGGCTTATTCACAAGGCCCAGATGTTCTCGCCCGCGCCGCCCTCGCCGCCCGCGCCCCTTTCCCTCTGGCCGTTCACATTCTTGGCAGTTGTGCCCTTACTCCGTCTGCATTGCCACCACGCTTTGGGTCCACGCGGGGGGGGGGGGGGGCTATAGAACTTTGTGGGCGCAGCCGGGCCGCGCAGCCGGGGCCCCGACGGCCTCTCCTCTCTCAATTGTGTCTCGGTCAATTTATTTTGCCTACTCTTCATTACGTGCCAGACGAAACGGACCGACGAGTCCGTTCTTTTGGCAGTGGCGCGGCGAGGGCCGTGCGGCCGCGCGGCGTCGGGCGGGAAATTCAAATTCCCGCGCGGCCTTGCGCGAGTGTGTGCGTTTGAGTATGACTTTTCTTCCTCCTTGTGAATAAACAAAAGCTCTCGCGGCCGGAAAAGTGCAGAGCTGGGGGCGGAAGGGAGGGGAAAAGAAAGATATGGTGAAGGGCCGAGGAGGGCAGAGGCTTTTGCTCACACACACATGCACACACACGCACACGCGTGCACACGTGCACACACACCCGCATCATAAACGCATGTCATACGGTCGCCTCTTGTTTTTGCCGGGCGCCCCGCCGCGTCCCGCCTGCCCCGCGATTCCGAAGGATTGTCCCGCCGCTCTGTCTCTCTCGCACCCCGGCGGGGACGCGCCATGAGTGCGACGGAGACGGAGCGACGACTCTCCGGAATCCGTCGGCCGCAGCAAGCAGCCCCGGTGCTGCTTTACGAGTCGCAGCCTCTTTTCGTTTTGTTTTCATTTTCTTTCCCTTCCCTTCCCTGCCTTTCTCGAGCGGACGATTTCCTGGTGTTTGAAATCGAAACCAGCCGGCCGGCCGCGGGCTGTTCTGGCCTCACGCTCTGGCTTGACGATCTGCCCGTGTCGCAGCGTGCAATCCATAACCTCACACACACGCTCACACACACTAACACACACACATACACACACACGCGCTCGCTCGCGTTGTTCCCCATTCTGGCGGGCGTGTCCGGGGCGGTAACGCACGGTAACGCACGTCGGCGCTCCTGCTGACTGCAGAAATACAGTCAGTGCATCGTATTGTGTGGCGAAGTGTTCGCATTATGCGTTATTACCGCCTGTTTGTGTGTGTTGGTGCGAGTGTGTGCGTGATTGTCTAGCCGGCGCGAATCTAACATGCCGCTGTCCTTGTTTGTTTCAGGTGGGTTGGTAGGCCTCGCGACCAACTCCGCGACGCACAGGAAGTTAGAGAATGGTGAGCTAGACGCCTCTCTTCGGCATGGTGTGGCTGCACTGTAGCTCTTGGTTGGTAGAGGTGCCAACCACTCGGCACCGCAAGTTTTTGGTCATTTTTTGGACGGTAGAGTATTTGAGGGAATTTTGGTTTGTGGATTTTTTTTTTTTGTGGCCCTGAGTGAGATCGGGGAACGGCTTGTCCAGGAGTAGTGGGTCCTGAGATGGCCTCGGTGGGAGGGGCGGCGCGGGGCGGAGAGGGTTTAGGGGTGGTAACGGCTCTCGGACGTGACCTGCGTAAGTTCGAGGGGGTAAAATACCCCGCCGGGGAGCGCCGCCGCGCCGCCGCCCAGTCTGGCCGCGCTCTGTTCCAGCGTTCCGGCGTGCCAGTGGACCATTGTAGGACAGGGCCGGGCTGTGCCGAGCAGCAGAGACTTGCCGACTTTGGAGAGTTGCAGTACATTCCGCAGTCTGCTTGCTAAACTTGGGATCAGGGATGTCCTGCGCCAATGTCGCAGTGCCTGGAGCCCACTCGCGGAGCCCACTCGCTGCTGGAGCACTGCGCTCGCCGTGGCGAGCTCCCCTGGAGGACTCGCGGCAAATTCGTCGCGACACAATTGTTTATCAACTCGAAGCTAGCCGGGCCGCGGGGCCCGCGGGGGGTAGAGCTGCGCGCGAGAAGTTTACCTGGCTGGGGCGTGACAAGTTTAAGCCGATTTCTTCTCATTAGAATCCTGCCGTTAGGTTGCCCGCGGGAGCCCTTAGCCTGCAGGGCCTCACCGGGGCCTGGCGGGGGCCTCGCAGGGCTCCATTTCGCAACTGTGTTTAATATGGGGCGCGGTGTCTCGCAGCCTCCCTAAGTGGCACTTCCTGACTGCTTTATACCGTCATTAAGCCCGTCTTGAAGGTGGAGGGAAGCCGCCGGCGCCGCCGCCGCCACGACGGCGACCCCACCTCGCCGCCGATCGCGGTGCCGCCGCCGCGACCTCGCGCAACCGCGGCCGCGTTGGGGCGCGGGTTCGACTCGCGGCGGGGGCGTTTCTTGGAAGGGTGCACCGGTCGGAATGGGGTCGGGCCGAGCCGATAGGCCGAGCGCGAATACCACCCGGGCGCAGTTAACGTGCTGCCCGTAGTCGTCGGCGTGCTCGCCGAGCCGGGGCGCCACCGGCGGCCTATCATCGCCCTGGAAACGGCTGCCGGCGTGCGTGTGTGTGAGTGTGTGTGTGTGAGAGTGAGAGAACAGTGGCGTAGAGTGGCTATCCACTGCTAACTCGGCCGTTGTGCGGCTGGCCGGGCTGCGGGGGTCCTGCAGCAGTCCTGAGTGGCGGCAATGGCACAGGCCGTCTGTCCGGCTGGCCGGCCGGCCGGCAGCCCGCAGTAGTTAGTGTTCCAAACTATTCACAAGTACTCAGCAGGAACGCGCTCGCGCCCTCCACAAGCAGACCGCTTTAATGGCCGTTGGGTAAATAGAGTCCTCGCCGATCCGCGCATGCGCCGCACAGTGGGCCAGAAGACCGGTGGAGGCGGCCGAAACTCTAGACGCGTTTTGAGCTCCAGAGTCGCTAGACAGGACGAGAAACGAACGTGTGACCCCACCAACGGATTCCTCGTTCGGAGAGCAGCCCACTGGTGGGATCACACGTTCGGTTCGAGTCCCATTCGGCGACTCTGGAGCTCAAAACGCGTCTAGAGTTTCGGCCGCCTCCACCGGTCTTCTGGCCCACTGTGCGCTGCAGCGGGGCCGAGAGAGTGTCGTGATTGGCGGCTTCGGCCCCGCGGCCCTTCGGCCGGCGCGCCGGGCTAAATCGGGCCGAAGGGCCGCGCGGCCGAAAAATGGCCAGGCGGAGAAGGGCGGCCAGATAAAATAAACGAATGCAATTTACAGTGGCCAGGTGTTGATTGCGAAAGGGGCGCGCTGCTGGCGCTGCCGGCGCTCTGGGCGGTGAGGGGCTGAAACAACAACGGGGGGCGCGTGGTCGCGGACGAGCAACGGCCGCTGAAAAGTGCACAGATTCCACCGTGTGTGTGTGTGTGTGTGTGTGTGTGTGTGTGTGTGTGTGCGTGTCCGTGTGATGCAGCCCAGGTGTCGGCGGCCATGTGCGCTCACTCACACACACACACTCACGCGCGTACAAGTTGTCGCGGTTTGGCGCGAACCAGGTGACATTGTGCGCGGCTTTACGGGCCGTTTGCGCGATGCAGCGCGCCGTGCACGCAGCACGCCGCGACCCACCGACCGCCACGGCGCGCCATGACACGTAAACGTTTTTATGTCGTCGATGTGGCCGTCGTCCCGGCGGGCCGGGCCCGTTCTGCAGGCTCGTAATAAGTGAGTTATTCTGTTTGTGGCGGGGACTTTGACGGGGTAAGTGTCGTGCCGGTGACGATGGCCGACGCGGCGGACGGACGGACAGGCGGACACCGAGGGAGTTTATTTTCCAATCACGCGCGCGACGCGAGGACCGCCCAGGCTCATCGACGCGCGTCCGAACAGTCCGAACCGCGCGGCCTCTCGCTCGCACTCCGCCCCGGGGCCGCGACTGGAGAGAGACGGAGAGAGGGACGGGCGGAGGTCGCCGCCGTGGCGCGCCGCGCCGCAGAGGGCCCGGACAGCCCCAACGCGGAACGAATCTCATTTGCTGGTGTAACCGTGTGGGCATGTGACATACTGTAGCCCCGCGGGGCGTGGCAGGGTGAAAGAGAGAGGGGGAATCGTCTCTCCGCGTCCAGGCCATGAGGCCCGACAGGCTGGTCGGCGGGCGGGTCGTCCCGGTCCTCGCGCAGGCCGCGGACAGGCCGCGCAGGCCGCCACCTTGGTGCTCGTCCATCGCCCCGCGCTCTCTGTTTCTGCCTTGTCTCATTACTCGCGCGGTCATAACGAAGGACGCACCCACGCGGAGCCGCCTTGAGGCTCGCCGCCACGCCACGCCTCGCCACGCCGCCGCGGCTGCTTTATGCATAGGAACGAAAAACTACGGCCTTTTCCCGTTTTGGAATCCATGCCTGTTAATGAGCGCGTTGGTTATTGATGCCGTCGTTCGTGCTTCGCGTTGTTGGCCCGCCGATTTTGGCGCGAAATCTAAGCCGCGTGTGAAACAGCAGTGCGCGGGGTGGGGCAGTGGCGGCGGCGGCAGCAGCGCGCTCCGCAAAGCAAATAAATGGAACGTGGCGTATCGCCGGCTGCCGGTTATTACCCCTCGACGCGATCCTTATGGCTGCCGATGGCGTCCGCGAGGATGTTATTGGTTCCGCGATGCGCCGTTCGCCTCGAGGGGGGCCTCCGTGGCCTCGACGGCCTCGACCGCCTCCACGGCGAGGCAGCAGCGGCCTGACTGGCCTGACCGCAGGGCCCCGGGGCCCCGAGGGGACCAGCCCCCCCCAGCCGGCTGGCCCACTGTGCCCCGACGCCCTGACGTCACCGCAAGCTCACTCGCAGGGGCTGCCCCGGGGTAATGATGTGGCGTATGAACAGCGGGGATGGTGTGTCCTGCTCGGCGGCCTTGTTGTCGGGGACCGCCACGGAGCGCCGAGATTGGCTGCGGCCCCAATCCGTCACGGGGTTTGTGACCGCCCCCCGGCAGCCCCGGCATGTAGACCGGGCCGGCTATTTCCGGCGCCCTCGGCTCTCGGTGCGCGCCGAGCGGCCGAGTTGTTGTGTCGTTGACGGCGTGGTGCCGGCCATGTCGTCGACGGCGTGGTGCCGGCCATGTCGTCGACGGCGTGGTGCAGACCATGTCGTCGACGGCGTGGTGCAGGCCATGTCGTCGACGGCGTGGTGCCGACCATGTCGTCGACGGCGTGGTGCAGGCCATGTCGTCGACGGCGTGGTGCCGACCATGTCGTCGACGGCGTGGTGCCGGCCATGTCGTCGACGGCGTGGTGCAGGCCATGTCGTCGACGGCGTGGTGCCGGCCATGTCGTCGACGGCGTGGTGCAGGCCATGTCGTCGACGGCGTGGTGCAGGCCATGTCGTCGACGGCGTGGTGCAGACCATGTCGTCGACGGCGTGGTGCAGGCCGCGCCGCTCGCTTTGACGCGCCGAAAAAGGGGGCGGCGTCGCTTCCCTCAATGCGTGTGATTATCTCAATGGGCTAATGGTGTGCCGCCGCTCTTCTGCGGGGGCCACTTGGTCCGTAAACTCGCGAAGTGGCGACGACGACGACGACGGCGTGCTGCTGCTGATGGAAGACGTCCTGTGCCCGCACCGCGCAGCGCGCCGCCGTGGCCCCCTTTCGGGCGTTTGCATAGTAGGGCCGCGCGCGAGAATGCCGCTCGCTTATCATTTCATCAGCAGCGAAATTTTGCTCGTTTTCGACAATTCCACCCTCGTCGGTTGGCGGGGCAGAGTGACCCATTTTTCGTGGCGTATGATGTGCGTGGGCCGCCGTGCCCGCGGTGACGCAGCGGGTATAAATCGAGCCGCGGACGCTAAGTGCCGCCGCGCCGCGGTACGCGGAAAGGAAAGAGAAATCACAGTCCAAAGTTCGTCTCAAGAAACCATCGAGTTTTCGGTGGACTTTCAATGTTGTTCTCCGGAGGCGGCGAGGGCGTTGACGTGTGAGGGCCCGGCGTGCATTCAATTAGGCGCGACAAATCCACAAATCCACATCGGCGAGACTTGATTGCCAGCGCCATCAAGTGCGCGTCCGCGACGTTTATCGCCGTGTTTCTCGTTGTTGTTGTTATTTGTTGCCGCGGAATACGTTCCGCGTCAGCGAGAGAAATGGAAATGCGGACAAAATATGGCGCCATTTTCTTGTTGTTAGTCTTTTTTGTTGTCGTTTCTTTTCGCATGATTGATGAGTAAAAGGTTTGAGAGAATCATTTTCTCGTGTTGCGTGCACCCTTACGTTGTCTTTTCCTGTATCGGCTGCCAAGTCGGCCTGTAACGTGTGCAGTAGTTTTGCCGCCTTGTAGTTTGCCTTGGAGTTTTATGTTCGTGGAGTGGGTTCGCGGGTATCTCCATGCGAGTAGTTACCAACTGGGAAAAAGTGTCGTTTGAATTATCACACCGTCCTTGGGGCTTACGACGTTGACCTCTTTGCGCGGGTTTTTGTTGTTGTTGTTGTTGTTTTTTTTCCAGTGGAGTGACGTCCCTTGCTTGCGCTTTTTCCAGACGACCTGACCGACGAGGAGGACTCCGTGGAGCGCGGTCGCGTCCAGGGCGGCGTCGGCGGCGCGCCGGGGGCGGTGCCGGGGGCGGCGGACGGCGAGCTGCTGCCGCCAATGCACGCCTCCTCGCACGACCCCCTGTTCCTGGAGGAGCCCCAGGACACCTTCGTCATCAAGAACGCCCACGCCACGCTGCGCTGCTCCGCCATCAACGCGCTCACGGTGAGAACATGCACTGCAAGCGGGCCGCGGGGTAGGGGTGGACGGCCAAAAGGCTGTCCCCGCTACAAACCCAGATTCGTGGGCGTATGAACCCGGTCTACCGAGAAAACCACTCCTCTCAGTAGGGACGCCCCGTCACGTGCTGGTGAATCACCGACATGACCGGGCGGGCCCGAAAGGCAGACGATCACTTGTGGTCCAGCCGTTAATCGCAATCGCAATCGCCTGCAGGGTAGGCTGGCCCGGGCGCGGCGCTGTCGACGGGACGGCCTGGCTCGGTGCCGCACGGCGCCGTGCTTCGCAGCGTGCTTCCGGACCCAGAGGGAAAGGGGGGGGGGACTTCGGGCAGGTCAACCTCCTTAGTACGCGGAAGCAGGGCGGGGCGGGCGGCCACTGTAATGGTTTTCCGCTGAAACTGGGCCGTAGCCCCCTGTGTGTGCGTGTGTGTGTGCGTGTATGTGTGCGCGCGCCGGGCCCGCCCCCTCATCCGTGCCCGACATCTCAGAACAGGACAAGGACAGCGCCGCCGCCTGTCTCTCGGAAGGGCCTGCGACACGTGAGTCGCCGTCATGTCACCGTTTCTGAGCGGCACTGCGGCTGTCTGAGACTGTTCGCGTCGGAAAAAAAAATTGCTATCAAACTCGAATTTTCAGCAAATTTTTGTTGTTGTTTTTTCGCCGTGTCTTTTGGGTGGACACGATGGCCTCTCTTCGGCCGGACTGCCTGAACGGGGTGGCGCGGGAGGAATGGGTTAGGGGTTGTTGCAGCGGCCCGGGAATTCGGCTAATTAAGCCGTGTTGATTGGCGCTCTCTCTCTCTCTCTCTCTCTCTCTCTCTCTCTCTCTCTCTCTCTCTCTCTCTCTCTCTCTCTCTCTCTCTCTCTCTCTCCCTTTCCCCACCCCTCTCCCTCTCGCTCTCTCGCGCCCCGACAATCGCGAGCGGCGGCAGCAGGTACATGACGGCCTGCTCCGCCTGCTCCCTGGCTTTTGCAATGCAATCAATTGCACCGCTGCCTTCCTCCCCTCCGCCGTTCCCGGAACGACCCTTGGCTGCACTTGGCGGGGCGGGGCTGGCACACTGGTCGAGAGGGCCGCCTATCTCTAATTATCCGGCACTATTACCCGCGCTATCGGCCGATGTGAGTCGGTTACTGCGCCTCGCGAGGCGCGCTGTGTGTGGTTTTGTTTTGGCTAGCGAAGCGCCCCAAGAAAATGAGTTCCGGAAGAAGCGCGGAATGGCCCGGGGAACTGTCGTGTTATCGCAGCGGGGTCGTCCGACGGGCACTCCTTCTCCTTCTGGCGGCTATCTCGGCGCCGCGCAGTGCGCCAAGACCGGTGGAGGCGGTCAAAATCCCGGGCGGGTTTTCAGCTCCAGAGTCGCTAAATGGGGCTGGAGCCGAACGTGTGACCCCACCAATGGATTGCTCTCCGAACGAGGAATCCGTTGGTGGGGTCACACGTTCGGTTCGAGTCCTGTTTAGCGACTCTACAGCTCAAAACGCGTCCGGGATTTTGACCGCTCCCACCGGTCTCCTGGACCACTGTGCGCCGCCGCCACGCTGGCCCAGCCACTGACCCTCCGGCCCTCCCTGCTTGCAGGTGTACTTCAAGTGCTCCAACGCGGCCAAGGCGACGTCCCACCAGCAGGAGTTCGTGGACCCGCATGACGGCGTCCGCCACGTGGAGGCCTCCGTCAACGTGACCCGGCAGGACGTGGAGGAGTTCTTCGGCGACAAGTACACGTGCACGTGCCTGGCCTGGTCGTCGCGTGGCAAGATCCGCTCCCGGCCCGCCACCGTCCAGTACGCCTGTGAGTACCCCTTTCTCTTTGTTTATGCCTTTCGAACCAACCGCGCCCTCGGACTGTTATTGGCGGCTTAGTGCTCGCGTGCACTGTAAGCGGATGACACCGAGGAGCCACGCTAAGACGCGCCGTCATTGTTGCTGGCTGCCACACGTGTTATCCCCGGGTTCGAATCCCGTTACCGTACGTAAGGCCCTGCCTGATGAATCGCCCCGGACTTCTAATGTGCCCGGGGGTTTATCGTGGGCCTGTAAGCTGGGAGGGTACCTCACGAACCATCAAGGAGTTCGAATTTTTTTTTTGTTGGTGGTGGTGGGGATTTGTTTTGTTGGTCCACGGAGCTCTCGATACCCGTCGGAGCGAATCGGGCGAGGCGTGGCGCGGCGCGTCGAGGAGGGCGTCGTCGCGAAGGGCGTCGTCGCGAAGGGCGTCGTCGGGGTCGTCGAGGCGCCAAGGCCGCGCCAAACACAGGGAGCTGCGTGTCGGGATTACTCGCCCGTACAATGGCCGTCCGATCGGCGCTGCCGAGCCGCTGAGCCCTCGGCGCGCTCGTGAACGGTAGTCGCGGAAGCGGAGCGGAGGGGAGGGGAGGGGAGTCGTTGACATAATGACGCGTCGGCCGAGCCTCGCTGGCAAATCGCTGAGCGACAGGAAAATAGCCCAGCACGGCACGGCGTGGAGCGACCATCGGATTTATTGTTTACAGACGGCTTCCTCCTTGAGTCCTTGGCGCGACCTGCCCGAGGCTAGGTCCTGCCTGTCCTGCCGCCTCGGGCGATCTGGCTGGACGCGCCGCGTGGCAGGCTGGGTGGGGTGCTTGTCGCTGCGAGTGGGGTGGGGCCCCACACCACCACCACCCCGGACCGAGGACCAGCCACCAGCCCCCGGCAGCAGACCGCAAAGATATCAATGCGCATAAATACGGTTTACGACGAGAGTCTGGCCGAAACTTTGGAATTGAAAGAGGAACGGATTGCCGTGGCGTGGCGTGGCCGCCTTGGTGGAGAACGAGAGCCTCCCCCTTGCCTGCTGCTGCTGGTCCTCGGCCTCCCTTCACTCGCTAACGGCCGCTTTGGCTCGCTTTAGCTCGCCGCGGCTCGAGTGGCGTCCCTCCCTCCTTCTTGTCGAGCAGCAGCGGTAATGCCGCGCGAGGGATGGACGTCGAGGTCCTCGCCCTTCCGCCCCATTGGCGCCGTGCTCCTGGTCTGGGCAGCGAGGCGGTGCAGCAGCGCCCCGGTGCCCCGAAGCAGAGCGGCAGCAAGATAATGAAATGCAATCCGGCCGGGGCCCCACGGCCCCTCGGCCCCACGGCCCCTCGGCCCCACGGCCCCTCGGCCCCACGGCCCCACGGGTACGACTTCCTGGCTGCGCGCTGCTGCCGCTGCAGCGCCCCTCGGCCGGGGCGCGGGCCCCAAGGCAGGCCCGGCCACCCCAATCCCCATTCGGCGCCCCAGCTGCCTCCTCCGCCCCGTCCGCCCCGTCCGCGGGACTGAGGCCGTCGAAGTCGAAGGGGAGGGGGAGGCCGGCGGCGTGCCGACGGCGTGCCGCCCTGGACAAGAAGTTCCAGAGTCACGTTAGCGACGCGGACGTCCCTCTCCTCGGCCAGAAAGTAACTTGAAATGAGAATCGGGGCTGCTGCTGCACTGTTTCACTGCTTCACTGTTTCGCGCCGAAGGAGGCGGCCTCCCTATCACCGCCTCCAAGTTATCGGGCAGCTGGCTCGGCGTCGAGCTGGCGGAGCAGGGCGTTAGTTCCATCGGACACCCCCGCTGGGATGCTGGTACGGAGTGCGCCTTGGGGTACGCCGGGCGACGACCCTGGCTGGTGCAGGCTGGAGGCGAGGGTTGGCGCGGGTACCTCTGGAGCGGCGTGGCGCGGAGCACCTCTTCAATATCCCATCAATCTTTGTCTCCGCGGCGCGCCGGCGCCGTTTTAGGCGCTTTTTGTTATTTTCTCGCTGCGACGTGTTTGTTTGCTGATGACGAAGGTTTTACCGGAAAGGGTTTTCGCCTCCACCCCCATCCCTCCCCTCCCCGCGCGGCGGATGTTACACCTAGCGGGCCCGGGGGGCGGAAATAATAAACAGGAAGGAGATAAAAACAATTGGGATTTCAGGAGCACGCGCGCATACGCGATTCGGCGCGGAAAAGAGAGAGAACAGGCCGCGGCGTGGTCGCAAGGATTACGTCGGTAAAGCCTTCGCCGCCCCCGCGCCGCCCCCGCGCCGCCCCCGCGGTGGCACTTTTGTTTTATTTTCTATTATCATTATTTTCGCCGCCGTTTCCTCGTCTTTTTTCCGTTTTCTTTTTGTTTTTTCGCGGCCCTGCACCCTGCTGTCGGCCTGCCCCCTTGCATCCCCCGGAACTCCGTGGCCATTCCGCTTCGCTCGGTTCGCTAAAGAGCGCTCGGCCGGCAGCGGCCGGCATCCCCACCGGATTTGCCGAGTGTTGTGTTTATTACGATTCCCCAGTGCGCGTGCATGCGCGTATGTGGGCGTATGTGTGCGAGTGTGTGCGTACGGTGAAAATTACGAGCGCACACCTGTAATGCTCTCTCTGCTTGCTTACCCAGGCCGGCGGCAAAACCAGCGATGACGACGCGTCCTCTCGCCAAGTTCCAGTGCCATTACCGTATTGCATAATCGGATCGTCGCGGACGTTTTGTTATTCCAACACAAACTCTTCCCCCTTCCCCGCCCCTACAACTCTCTAACTTTCTATGCGTTGCTGGTGGCATATTTTTTCCACCGCCAGCCTTCTTCGTCGTCTTCTGTCCTCCTCGGTGTGCTCAACCGTGCGAGCGTGGCGTCGGCGCCGTCAGAATCCGATTTAAATATTTTGTCACGAGAGATGCTCTAGCAGTGGCGCGGCGGCAGCGGCGGTGGCTCGCCTCCCTCCGCCGGGCCTTCTGCACAGCCGTGGCACGGCCATGGTAACAGCCACACCCCCGGCCCCGCACCCCGCGCACGAGTTTTACGATCGCTTTCGCGCTGTAGTATGGATGTGTATACAGGACGCTGCATAAACTCGAGCTCATCACCGAATGTGCCAAGGCCATCGCTTTACGGCGTGGGTGTGCGTTTGTGGGGCGAGATACGCCCCCGCGGAGGGGGGGGGGGGGTGTCAGTGCGGCCTGTAGTATGCACGCGGCCCGGCGGACGCAAAGAGCGATTTGTGTGGCACCTGAGGGGTGGTGGCCGCGCCGGGCCGCGCGGCACTTAGGCCCTTACATTCTGCACCAGCTGCAGCCCGAAACAAATGGCACCTCTGCGGGTGACTGCGGGGCTGGAGCCTGCTGGAGCCAGCCTGGCACACTGTTGGCGCGGCCCGGACGGCTTTGCGGCCCACGGTCTTACACACTGCCGCAGCGCCGCTGCTTCGCGGCTTCCCCCCGGAGACGCGCCATCTTTCGCACAGAGGGAGTCTTGGCCCCCCGACGTGTACAAAGCACCGCGGGGAACCGGGCGAGCGGCCTCGGGGGCCCTGCCGAGGCCCCGCGGGGCCGGGGGGCCTCGCCGCCTGTTTGTCAAATCTGGGGGGAATGGGGAATTTACGGCTTGTTTCGTATTTGGGTCGGCACGCTGCGCACGACGCTGATAAGGCGGTGTTCTCCGAATCAATCGCGGCGCGGCGGAGACACGCGTGCGATAAGCGTGCGCCTTAATCCCGGACACGGCGCGCCGGGCACGCCACGCCGGGCACGCGTGCCTACACCGCGCGGCGCCCCGCTCGAGTGCTGACTGGCTCGGCTCGGCGGCTCGGCCAGGTGCCGGGCGGCCCGAACGCACGCCGTGTTTGCTGTACCAACAAACCCTTATCGAATCTCCTCGCGTCCCCCTCCCCTCCCACAACGCCCAGCCTCCTCCCCTGCAGCCCGCCAGCCCCGCCACCGCGGCACGCAGGGCATGTACGTGTAATAAAGTCTCAAAATATGAGAAGTCATTTTTGCGTTTTTTATTTCTCGAGTGGAGGGCGTACGTGCGGCGGGCGAGGCGGGCGGTGCTCCGGCAGCATGGCATTCATGAAGGGGGCGGTGCACGGTTCATCCATTCTCCAGCGGGGGGCGCGATGGGATGGGCTCCTGGCCTGGCAGCCTGGCCTCCCCGACGGGGTCCTGGCCCTCGCCAAGGTCACGGATCGGTCGCCGGCTGCGGACGCTTTTACGCGGCAGTGCGTTTTGCTGCGCGGACGTGCCGGCCGCCCTGGGAGTGCCGAGACTCCGAGACGGCGCACCGCTTGCCTCGCCTTTACTGCCTCCCACAGCCTTAGCCGGCCACTGCCGCGTAGACCTTTGCCTTTTCCAAAGATTTGCATGTTGTGCGCGCGGATCCTGGAAACGCCAAGCCCCGTCCAGCGTCCAGCCCCGCGACGTGGCCGTTGTTGATGGAGCCGACGGACAACTCTTTCCCCCGCCGCTGCTGCTGGCCAAACAGCCGGCGAGTCGCGCCATGTGGCTAGGCCAACACGGCCGCTTTGTAAACACAAATACGAGACTGTCAGGCCACCGGGCCGTCAGGTGGTGGTGCGCGGGGTCGCGGCCCGCCCCTGCTCCGCGGCTCCGCGGCTCACAGTGGGCCAGCGAAGCAGGCCGCCCTGCAGCACCCTCTCGGCCGCGGCTCCAGCGCGCGCCGCTCGACCCGGTGACCCACATGGCGTGCATGCTCACGTGTGCAAGGGTCGCTCTCGACCTCCTCGACGCGGTGGCGGCGCGGTGGCGGCGCCCCTCGTATTTTTCCGCCCTGTTGGGCCGAGACGAATAGGGCTGCTGGAGCCGCGGCAGCCGCGCTGGAGCGGGCCTGGAGAGGCTGGAGAGGGCGAAGGGTGGGGGCGTTTGGCGCACGCGTCGCCCCGCGTTCGCACCGCCTTGCGTGGCGGCCGATTCCTTCTGCCGATTCGGTCCTGGTGACGTCATCGGCACAGTCACGGCCTCGGTGACGATGATGACCAAGACGGAGGAACGCGACGTTTCGTTTCACGCCCCTGGCAGGCGACAGTGTATGATGACGA